GAAAGACACAGATTACCAATATGAGGAAGAAGAGAATATCACAACAGACTGCGTGGATGCTTAAATGTTTACTTCAAAATTGTTTTTTTTTTTTTTTTTTTTTTTTTGTCTTTTTCATTTTTATCGGTACCGGGGATCAAACTCACGACCGCCTGCTTGCAAGGCAGGTGCTTATGCCGCTGAGCTAAATCCCCAGCCCCTTACTTCAAAATTGTTAAAATCATTATTTCTATAAATTCAACAAATTAAAGAAAATGGGTCAATTTAATGTTTCAGTTTTCTATAGAGACAGGGTCATGATCTGTAGCGTAGATTGGCTTAGAGTTTATTATCCTCCCGCCTCAGTCACTGGGTTGTTTGAATTACAGATATGCTTCACCAAGGCAGCTATGAAACCACTTCTTGAAAAATAGAAATTACAAAAAATCTATTAGAATAAATAAAATAACTGAATATTTTGTGTTCAATTAATGAAATTTAATTTGATTTATTTTTTACATTTTATATTTCTCTTTCAAAGAAATACTTAAAACCAGGCATGGTGGTGCACACCTATAATCGCAGCACTTAGGAGGTTGAGGTAAGAGGAACTGCTAGCAGTTTGAGGTCAGCAAGGGTATATAGTGAGTTCAAAGCCTATCTGAACTACATAGTGTAACCTTGTCTCAAAAAACCAAAAAAAAAAAAAAAAAAAAAAAAACACAAAGAAAGAAGGAAAAAAAAGAAAGAATTAATGAAAGAAAGAAAAATAAAACAAAAGAAAGAAAAGAATAAAAGAAATTATTCAGATCCTATCTGCTTCACTAGTGAACTGCACAAAAATTTAAGATAAAAGTACATGTTCAGTATCCCTTATTACTAATGCTTGTAACTAGAAGTTATTCTGATATTTCTTTTTGGATTTGGAATATTTGCATATACATAATGAGTTACCTTTTATATTTTGTGAAGTTAAGGATGTTGAGGATCAAATACAAGTCCTGGTGTGTGAATGATAGGCAAAGACTCTACACTGAGCAATGCACCCAGACATTTATACAATATTTTAATGCACCTGAGATTTTACTGCAATTCATTTCATGGGGTCAGATATGGGATTTTTCACTTGGATGTCACACTGATGCTCAAGAAGTTACAGATTTTGAAGAATGTCACATTTTTCAGAACAGGAATGCTCAGTCTGTAGTATCAGATCCATGCTAACTTTCAGAAACTAGAAGTACAGTAATACTTAGTTGAGTAATACTTAGTATGAGTTGGACATACTTACTGTGTCCAAGACACTGTTCAATAAGATGGGGAATAAAACAGATGAAAATTTGCTTTCTGTCCTCCAGTAGTTTATAATGAGTGAGATAAAATTAAGGGACTCCTTTTCCCTCAGTCATACCCTAAAGTACCGTCTAATTAGTTAAGATACAGCAAAGCATATTACCCTGCATTATATAGATATTTAAAGATGAAAATTCTCCTCTGTAAAATCAGTAACAGTGAAGTTGATCTGCTTATTTCCTTATTCAGTTATTGATACAATAAAACTGGTGAATTACCTAAGGATGAAATACCCTCTCTCATCAAATACAAGAGTCCCCAAACTCTACACCTTCCTCACATTCCCAACCCTATCTTGTTTGTATTGTTAATAATTTAATATTGCATGAAATATTTTACATGACTCATTTACTCAATAATGAGCAAATAAAGTTATAGTAACTCAGTTCATTAAAAAAGTGCCATAAATATAATTTGCCACAACCACATACTCACATGCACAGAGATTACTTTAAATAAAACTTTATATTCCACTACTACTTAATTCATAGTGTGCAAAATAAAATAACCATTTAATCACTTCGATAGAATAAAAGAACACATTGTTAACCCTACATTAATATAAAATGCCTTCAGCACACTTAAGAAAATAAATATCTCAGTGCTACGTAGTGTAGCCCACACAATAGTCATAGATGAGTTTCTTAGAATGTTTCTAAATGCATCTATTTTTCCAGTTTCTCACACCAGAAAGTATTATATTTACACAAGTGTGTTTGATTTATTTCACTTGAGTATGGTCTCAAGATATATTCACTTAGCTATAAATATCTCATTTATCATTTTTATGGCTGAGTAGTGCTTCATTATGTAAAAAAACCACATCTTATATTAATTCATCAGTTGATATATATTTGGGCTATATCCAAGATTTAGCTATTATAAACTGTGCTGCTATCACCATAGGTGAGAAACTGAAAGTGTAATTAAGAACCAAAATGTATAACAGATTTTGTGAAATAGGAAGAAATTGTTCAAAAGGAAAGGAGAACTGGGGGGAGGGAAGGAAGGGAAAAGAAAAAAAAAAGAAAGGTAAAATGGATTTAAAGCTTTGCAAATAAGGAGGGGAAGAGGGGTTAAAGGAAGGAGAGGGGGATGGGCAAAAAAGAGCTCCTAAGATACATTATGTATAAGTATAAATTCCCTATGATGAATGTGATCATTATGTACATCTAAATTGTACCAATAAACTTAAGAATAGAGAAACCAAAATAATCTGGTCTTTTAGACAAGATTAGAAGGAGGAAAAGCGGAGGAACACAAAGGGTGGAGGAAAGAAAAAGAAAGGGGAAAGGAAAAAGAAAGAGAAAAAGAAATGGGAAAGAATATGGAAAGGAAAATAAATTCCAGGAAATTAAATGAGTAAGAGCGAATTGCTAAAAGCAAGCCTGCTTACAACATATCAAATGATAGCAGATAACAAAGATAGTGAGAGGCAATTCATAAAAAGAAGATACAAAAATCAATTCTTTTAATGAGAGAAAAACACCTTTTTCTGATTACTAGAACATCATATAATGTTTTATAAAAACCTGTATCCTTATTTTTCATATTACCTGAACAAAAAAGGATCTTAAACATTGTAATTCAGAAATATTTTGATCTAAGGTCTTTATGAAATTCAAAATACAAATTTCATTAAAGAATTATTAAAAATAAAGTTGTTGCTTAAGGAATATATATTTTAGTTTTTTTTTTAAAATGACTTATTTCCCAAGGTGTCTTAGAAATTGAAATGTAATTGTACCTGGAGATACTTCAAATATCCTCACATAAAATTGTTGAATAGCAGATAGTACATAATTACACAGGAAACATGCCTTGGTAGTCAGGTGTGGTAGTGCACACTTGTAATTCCAACACTCAGGAGGCCGAGGTAGGAGGATTCACCTTAAGCTCAAATCCATCCTGGGTCCTGGACTACATAAGTGAGTTGCAGGCCAATCTGCAGTATATAGCCACATACTGTACTAAAAATACATATTGTCATGGCTGCACAAATGTAAAATCAAGAAAAAATGCTTAGAAATATATTGTTATTAATATCTTTCTTTGGGTTAAAATTTTTTCTGAGACTTACTTTTGTTAAGACTAATTATTTATTTTTAATTATTAAGAGTTTCTGAGAGAGCTAAAACTGGTCTGGTGGGGCTTTGACTTTTTTGTTCTGTTTTGAGATTCTCAACCAGTAATGTTAGCCCCCAACTACTAATATTTTGCACAAGCTAAATAAGTAAGTGGGTTTGACTTCACTTGGGAAACAGTTCCTTAGTTTCCTTTTTTTTTTTTTTTTTTGTGTGTGTGTGTGTGTATGTGTTTTCTGATGCAGCCACAATAGAAAAACTTGTTTTGATGGATATTGTCACTATTTAATGATCCAAACAGGCTTGAATATTTGTTCTAGTAGCAGATAAATGATTTGCACTTCCGCATGAGTGTATCTTTTCCAAAACACCTTTAAAAAAATTCTCTGGAGGTCTTTGTTTCTATTTCAGGTAGAAACTCTTCTCTCATCTTTCCTTTGCCTATCAACATTTAGTTTTCTATAATCTGTTCCCTTAACATTACTTAGAAAATGTTTATGTGAGTGGGATAACCAGGTATGCAAACTGCAGTGTATGGTTGTCTGACACTTTATTAGATAGTTTTATTGTTCAAAGTACTTATAGGAAGGGAAATTGTTCTTTATTTCCATGTCAACTACTTTATTGATTCCATACACAGTATACTACAGAAAGTGGTTTGATGAGTCTTAAAGTGTTTTTTCTATTGCTGTTTTCCAAATTTAAAAGAGATACTTCCCTTAGGAAATATTTTGTGTAAGTCAACTATTAGGATTAACAATCTTAATGTGATAGCTTTCAAAAAGAATCTGAAAATCTCTTAATCAAATTACAAAGATACACTATAAAGATTGCTACAATAATTAATGTTTTTTAAAGTAGGTTCAATCAGCCTTTCACTCATGAGATTCAGGTGTTGCCCTACAGGCAAAAAAATAAAGTATTTTTATCTTGTGTTATATAATTTTTTGGTACCTATTTAATTAAAAATTGTATAGTTTTTGCACAGTTTTATTTAATGAAATATATGTGACTTTTAATCTTGTTTTATATAGTAGTTATTAAAGTAATGAATTTTACATAATATCACTTGTATTACATCTTCCTTTCTAGTTTTAAGTTTTAAAGGGAGGTTTTGCTTTAATATATACAAAGAATCCCTTAAGTTTCAGAAAGAAAACTAAAAGTATCCTTTAGTTCTAGAGCATGGCTTCTGATCGTTAGACGTGTGCGAGTTGCTTTTCTTGACAAAGATGACAAGTCCCTGTTGATAATTGATCATGTATGACTGGCACTGTTTCTGATTTTCCAAACCATAAATATTTCAGAGAAAGAAACGATTTTTGCCCTATGCAATTACTCTAACTAGATAAGGCATATTCTTTTTGCTTTCTTTAATGTTGTTATTTTTCTGAACAAATTCAGTATGTGTTTTTATTAAATATATAAATTTAATAAGAATCTGTCACCCATTAACACACAAATTATTTCCCACTAAAAATACTGCAGTTTGGAAGCACTGAAATTGTACTGAAAAACAAAGTGTATAAATTCTAGACATAAAATTTTTATTACAATTTTCAGAGTATCTTCTTTTATTTTTAGATGAATCTACGTTCAGTATTTACTGTAGAACAACAAAGGATTTTACAGCGTTATTATGAAAATGGAATGACAAATCAAAGTAAAAATTGCTTTCAGCTCATATTACAGTGTGCACAGGAGACTAAGCTGGACTTCAGTGTAGTCAGGGTAAGTACTGAAGTGTTGCACTCCAATTTATAGCCTTTAATGACTAATAATATTTGCTTAATATGAGAAAAAATATTCAGGGTATGAAGTAACTAACTTTATAATCAACTTCATTCCCCTGTTACGAAAATATTAATTCTTAATAACAAATAATCATTTACCATATATTTGTTTTTATAAATGTCTTGAAAACACTAAAACATCTGTAGCACAAACATATCTTTTAAATATCTTAGCTCTTCAAGAAATATCCTTTAAGCTTAGCTCATGCTTTTTTAACCTCAAGTAACTCTGAAATAACCTTCAGCACTACAAGATAGTAAAACAGGCATTTTTCTGAAGGAATTCTGTGTCTATAGCTTTCTTTTTGTGTTTGATTTTTTTCCTTGGGCATTTATGACTTTAGTATTTTTGTCTTTTCAGGAATGCCTAGTCTGTTTTATGAATATATCCTTCTAAGCGATATACATGCATTTTAAAGACTAGCAGCTAAGGACTAGATATAATCAAAATTATAGTTATTCATTTGGGTAAAAAATTAGCTGCTACACATTCATGAAAGAAAACAAGAAAGTGACAGAAAGGAAGAAAGAGATAAATCTAACACAAATAGTCAAGTATTTTATGGACTGCATAAGCCCTTTCTTATTCTTTTCAATAATTCCTCCTTTTGTTGGGAAACCTTCATGAATCAAAAGTTAGCAGCTTTCTCATTATTGGCATTCATTTGATTAATTTGGGACAGAGAAAGTGTGTCTGTTTTAAAGTTTATTTTGCTGCTTCTACCTTCAAAGGCCACAAAGATAAAAAAAACTTATAGTAACCATAATTTTTGGAAAATATTTCTTAAAGACTAAAGAATGTATTCATCTTCAAATAGGTAATTATGAAACCAATTCTATGGGAAATGTCCACGATACCTGTCTTTTATTTCCTGAAATCAACTATCATACTCAGATTTGTCTAAGATCTAGAAATATTTCCTACTGATCCTCCTAAATACACTATATAAAATTATCTTACTGAACTTTAAATGAAAATGCTAGCTTGTTTGAATCTAATACAGAATGTTTCAACTTGAGATTTTGTATTATACATATAGACTTTTATTTCTACAGTAATTTCCTTGCTTTACTTTTTCACTTTTTCTTACCATTGCCTCAAATTTAAGTCTTCTTTAGGCAGCTGCACTGTCAGATATCTTTTGTATTTCTTATTTGTTATTGCAACCTTTTCCTGGTAATATCCTTCATTGTTCTTGAATATTGATATTCCTGTCATACACATGTTTACATTCCACATTGTGTGAAAATATAAAATAAACAATGAAAATCACAGTATAAATTTTTAAAATGTAGAGTCACAAGTAAACTGTGTTAGTGTGTTTATGCTTTGATGGATAGTAATTATTTATTTATTTATTTTTTTGTTACTGGGGATTGAACTCACAATCTGGTACCTGCCAGGCAGGTGCTTATGATGCTGAGCTAAATTCCCAGCCCCTGGATAATAACTTCTAATGTCATGGAATTTATTTGTAGTGAACAAAACTAAACTGTAAAATAAAAAACAGGCTGAAAGAAAGTAAAAAAAAAATTTCATGGTATTGTGCATGTTGGAGTCTTTCCATCCTGGAAAGTATAAACTATATAGACAATCAGTCTTCCTAATTAATGCCTTGATATAATTTCCATAATTCTTTTATTCAATAAAAAAGAGTTATTTATAAACTCATCACTCCTCAGCTCCACCACAAATATTTTACTAAGTCTATAGATCCTACTAGTTAAAGAGCGTTATTATATTTAGAATAGTTTTTATTGTGTCTTTTTTCAAAAGGACCTAAATTTCACTTTATTAAGATTATGTCCTCCATGTAATGAGAATTTAAAACTTAAAGGCATTCAAACTAAAACATAATGGTGTAACAGAGAACAGAGAACAAGGAATAAGATACAGCAAAATGATAAGATTTAGAGAAAGTAAATTTCTAAGAAAAAAACAAAAGTGAACTGTATGGACACCAAACACTGATGACTCAAACACCTTTCTCTTTTTCCTTTTCTATGTAGTATCACTTTGTTTAGTTCCTTATCCGAAATCTCTCATCAAATCAATTGTTAGTTTTTTTTTTTTTTTTTTGCTTCTGATAACTGAGGCATTTATAGTGAAAATCATTTACATTTAATAATAATTTATAGATTTTGGATATCATAAGTGAACAATTTTTGGTAATGTTTAATTCAAATCTTGGAATGTCTCAGGCAGTGAATTTTCTTCATTTTCAGCATTTTGGATGGAAATATTTCTTCAGTATATACTTTTGTACCTTTCTTCATAGAGAATTCCTTCAACAGAGGGGTGGGCATTTAGTTCAGCAGTGTAAGTGCCTCCCTGGCAAGCATGAGGTCATGAGTTTTATCCCCGGTACCAACAAACAAACAAACAAACAAAAAATAATTCAACAGAGAAGACAGTTGAACTTTTTGATTCAGAGTCTTCATTATGGAAATTAATTATTATACTGTTCTATAAAGTAATGCTCACAAATTGATACAGTATATGATATTATTTTTTCTTTTATTAAAGAACCACAGATTGTCTATGTAGTAATTTCTTACTGTGATTTTATGTTTTCCTTTTTTCTGTGTTTAAATGAGCCATGGTAAGTGAAGTTTCAGTTTTAGAGCTATCAGAGTGCCTGCCATCAGGAGCCTCAATCAGTTACCAATGTCTCTCCCTTTTGTTGTTTCCAGTTTTTGTACCTAATTTGTTCAAATTATATGCAAAATCATGAAAAGTGGATTTTAATGTTAAGGGTCGTCCTATTAGTGAACTACATGTATCTATAACATCTACACTGGCGGTATTCTGGACAAATAAGGTTGTTAGATTACAAGACAGAAAGAGTCGTATGTACATGATATTCTACTTCATTTCACCTTTCAATGACACAACATAAATATTTAGTAAATTATATAAGCAACAATAAATATACATCTGTATGTGTAAGCTATAAAAACTATAAAAGTAAGCCATAAATTGGCAGAGCACTAAGATAGTTCTTAAACTTTCTGAGTTAAAGTAGGTAACGTTTGATGAAAATCTGGCAGTTTGTGGGATTTTTCTGATACATGGCTTAGAGGTGCTCTTTTGATATAATAGCTTTTCAATTAAAATTTTACCATTTTTTCTATTCCCACCGAAATTTTAATGTGATATATATATATATATATATATATATATATATATATATAGTTAAAAAATGTACAAATACATTGTGGTTTCCACACACTTTTGTTTTGTCTTTTTTATTTGAAAATCTATAATACAGAAATTATTTTGAATATTTGTAAAATTAACCTTAGTGGAAATTCAATGTATTGACAATATTTTTTTTTTTTGCTTAGCTTTGGGTTTTATTTTATGAGGGGTACCAGGAATGAAACTCAGGACCTCACAGTTGACAGGTACTGCGCTGCTGAGATAAATCCCTTGCCCCTAATGCATTTATATTTTTAAATATTTCTTTTGAGTGTATACTTTAATACCTTTTAGTTTTCCTCCCTTGTCTCATGTGATATTTATACTTCTTTTTTATAACTATCTTCTTTGTAATTATCCCTCCTGCTATTCCAAGAAAGTGAACCAAAGTGAGTTTAAAATCCTCCTACCTCAAGTCACATAGAAATCTATTAGAAATCAAGGTTTTGAATCATTGTTTAGGTATTTCCAGACAAAAAAATCTTTTCATAAACTACTTATTACTTCTGAATCACACTTTCTGCATTTATACAATTAGAAAAATAACACCCACTAAAGGTGTACAAAGAACAATAAAAGGAGATTCAATAACGTGTTAGCTTTAATTTACAGTATTACAGCAATACTAATGTTGTATATAAAATTGTGTGTTACACTGATAGAAACTGAAAATTGGCTGATTTCCAAAACAGATTATAGGAGAACTACACAGATCTGTACTACATTTATTCAAGATCAGTTGATTTAATGTTTTTATTTTGTTTAATCCTTAATGAAGCAATATGTCTTGCTAGTTTTTCATTTGTTATGCATCTTGTCACAACTGTAAAGTTTGACAATTACATTATAGAATGTAATGTTTCTTATGGTGTATTTTAAAGAAGAACCACATTTCAATACAATAATTATATAAGTAATTTTGGTAAATTACTTAACATAAATATATTTTATAATCAAATTAAATGCAAATGCAAAATGCCAGTTATAGTTTTATTAATGTTTTCTTATAGAAATATTGTGTATTCATTTTATAAAATTTGGTAAGTGGGGCTGGGGATTTAGCTTAGCGACATAAGCGCCTGCTTTGCAAGCAGGCAGTCGTGAGTTCGATCCCCGGTAACGGTAAAAAGGAAAAAGACAAAAAAAAAAAAAAAAAAAATTGGTAAGTAAAGTGTAAAGAAGAAAATACCATTCTTTAGAAACTAGGGTGATAGATCTTTCTGAAGAGGAAAGAATATGAAGAGATGAAAATGGAGATGTAGTTAGAGGAAAGGGATTGAAAAAAAGGAACTAAGAAATCTATGTACATGTAGCAACTCCATACAAGGAAGGTAAACATTATGTATTACAAACATGTACAAAAAAGAAAGGTAAACATTATGTATTACAAGGAAGGTGCACATTATGTATTACAAATATGTACAAAAAAGGAGGGGAATCAAGATTTGAATGGAGCAGGGAGGAAAGGAAAAGAAGGCAAAGGAGATGAAAAAAGAAATTGAGACATATATCAACTCCTACAAGGAATGTAAACATTATCTACTGCAAACATGTACTAATAAAGAATGTGATCTAAAAAAAGGATGAAAATATTACCATAAATTAATGACAAAAACAAAAAAAGTTGCAATATGTTGAAGTGTTGCTATCCTTAGAACAAAATTGCTTTTACAAATTTACTTTAAAGGTCAAACCCCTTAATATAAAAATAAAGTTAACAAATAAAACTTCTAAAAATAATATAATATCCATAAAATATAAAATCAAAATGGCAATTGTTTATCTTTTATTAATTCTCAGAATATTAAAGGTCCCTCAGAACTGCAAAGAAGTCAGAGTGTAAAGCACCAGCATTCTTGGATGTTGCACTTAAAAATATACCTAGCAATCTTTTAAGTATTGCATTCAAATGAACTAATAGAGAGGTACATGTACAAAGAGGAATGTTACAAAATTATTTATTATAATGAATATTTCTATATATGATATGACTTTATAGAAGCATGAAATTAACCAAGTTAAGTTATATTCATTCAATATAAATTGTAAGTCAGAAGACTGCAAACGTGTACTTATTTAATACTGCAGTAAATATTTCCTAATGGCATTGAAAAAGTGATTTCTTTTTATATGCTTTCAAAATTTACATATATATGATGTACATCAATACATATAAACTTTGTTTACATTAGTGACCACTTTTTAGGTTAAAGTCATAGAAATAGTTTAGGTTAAAGTCATAGAAATGTGTAACTATTGGGTGAGGCTGGGGATGTAGCTCAGAGGCACAAGCCTGGTAAGCATGAGGTTGTGAGTTTGACTCCAGGTACAAAGACAAAACAATATTTATTGGGTGAATCCTTAATCATATATACTATTATACTGTATTTGACTTAGTATTCTTTTATTCAATCTTTTGCTTTTATCTTTGTGTAGGCTTTGATTCTACAACAAATTTTTTCTTATGTATTTTAAAATTTATTTCATAATACTATCTTTTATTCTTTCAGACGTGGGTTGGCAACAAGCGAAGAAAAATGAGTAGTAAGAATTCTGAGTCAGGAACAACTGGAACTCTTTCTGGTACTTCCTTGACAGCTCCAGATCTTACAGTCAGAAATGTGGGCAACAGTGTTCAACCTTCAAGCCAACAGTCTTCTTGGACTTCAGCCAATAATGATGTCATTCTAACAGGTATATATAGCCCAGCCTGTTCACTGAGTAGGCAAGGGACAACTAAACATACCAATACACAAATTACAGAAGCTCATAAAACTCCTATTCAGAAAACATCCAGTAAAAATGATACTGAGTTTCAGTTGCACATTCCTGTTCAAAGACAAGTAGCACACTGTAAAAATGCCTCCCTGCTCCTAGGTGAAAAAACAATTATTTTGTCAAGACAGACAAGTGTGCTAAATGCTGGAAACTCAGTATATAATCACACAAAGAAAAACTATGGAAGTTCTTCAGTGCAAGCTTCTGAAATGACAGTATCTGAAAAACCATCTGTGTGTCACCGATCTTGCAAAATTGAACCAGTTGGAATTCAAAGATCATATAAACCTGAATATATAGGTATGGCATCGCATAATTTATGTGGCCAAAAGCCAGCTCTTAGAGACCCATACTGTAGAACACAAAATTTGGAAATCCGTGAAGTGTTCTCATTGGCAGTAAGTGATTATCCTCAGAAAATTCTTGGAGGAAGTGCCACGCAGAAGGCTCCAAGCTCAGCAGAAGGAATTTGTTTGTCAATTGCAATGGAAACTGGAGATGCTGAGGATGAATATGCGAGAGAGGAGGAGTTGGCTTTAATGGGAGCACAAATACGAAGCTACTCAAGATATTATGAAAGTGCAAGTTCCCTTCAAAATGAGAACCAAAGTACAACTTTGCCTGGACCAGGAAGAAATATACCAAATTCACAAATGGTGAATATTAGAGATTTTTCAGACAGTGTACTATATCACAACAGAGACTGCCATTTGACATCACGAAACTCATTACATACAGCATCTAGTACATTGTACAGTAGTACAAATCCATTACGGAGTAATTTTTCTCCAAATTTTTCATCATCAAACCAATTGAGATTACCACAAAGCCAAAACAATTACCAGGTAACATGCATATTTATTTTATAAATTTTTTAAAAGCTGTGTTTCAGTTTAAAAAGCTGTGTATCTGTTTAGGCTTAAGACCTGAGTCTTTTAACTACCATTTTAAAATAATTTGAAACTTTGGCTTTAAAATACTGTTTGGGTTCAACTCCTGGAGGAATCTTTTGTTTACTTTGTCATGCTTAAATGTGATGAAATGTTGATTAAAAATGAAATGTGCCAGGCTTGGTGGCAGTGCACACCTGTAATACCAGTATTAGGGAGGCTAAGGCAGGAGGATCACCATGAGTTCGAGGCCAGCTTGGGATACATAAATGAGTATAAGATCAGCCTGCACTGCATAGCAAAGCCTTGCCTCAAAAATAAAAAAAAAGTCAAATAAAACAATGAAATGTAATAATTTTATGGCATGAAAAATTTCTCCTGACATTTGAAATAATTTTGTTCAGGAGGTGGTAGCTTTATGGAAAACATGGCACTTGTCATATTTAAAATCAAATTAAATTAGCTAGGTTCATCCCCTTAAATATAAATTACTCCTGTTTTTTTTTTTTTTTTTTTTTTTTCAGTCTGAAGGTATGTCACTAGATGAGTGGAGCCTTTTTGGGTATATATCCTGGCAAGTCAATCATTTTTCTATGGATCAATGACTGAGAAATCAAAGTCTACAGTAACTCAGATAATAGCTATTATTATGAAAGTAAATGCTTTATTAGAATGTTAGTTAGAATATTAGGCAAGTGGATTTTGGTAAAGTATTGATAGAGAAAAGAAATTTATAGTAAAAATATTAGGACTGTTTCACATATTCAGTTATTTAGATATGCTTTGAATAATCTCTTTAACATTGCAATGTAAATCAACTTCAGAAAATCTCTTATTGCCATAGCTCTTTCTTTTGAAATTCTGCTTTACAAAATTTAAATAAACAGATATGGGTGTTGGTCATTTTCCTGGTTACTACCTATATTTTTTTACCAGTTTAATCATGATATTAGCAGTTTGTTAGGCTTTAAGATGCTTCTAGGCTATTTTCTATCAATTTCATAACCATCTTTTATTTACCATCTTATAGGATTTTGCTTCAAAATGAAAAGCAATAATGTAGTATAGGATGTACCCCTCTGGCACCTGGCCCTAACAAAAGAGGCATTAAGGCATCATAAATAATAGACATTTCCTATTGAATAGCAATTAACTTTTAGTTTATTATTTACAAACTATGCTTAAAGTTGATTTGAATAATGCCATTAATATCTTCCCCAAATTCTCCCCTTTCACTCTTTGTATTTTATTACCCATTTTATATTTTATTAATTTTAATAACAATAATGTTACCATTTGTTGAGAGCTTACCAAATACCAAACACCATTATCATTACATATACGTATAACATTTTATATATATATATATATATATATATATATATATATATATCCCTTTTCATTTAATGTTCACAATGTTACGGATAGGTAGACATTTCATACAAAATATTCCTGAAGGAATACTTATCACAAAGTATTTGAAGAAGAAATAGCGTGAAGACCTGGATGAGGGAAGACTGGAGGTCAACTATTAACCTTACGATATCTTTTAAAAGGCCATATACTCCTATTTATGTTATATCAGACCTCTTCAAGTTAATTTAATCTGAGCAGTATGATAGTGTTTTCAAAGAACCTTTGAAGCATCACTTACTCCACCTTTCTTTTAATAATTTATTTAATAGTTAAATAAGATTTGGGGAAATCAATGCAGCCCAATAAAGTGATGTCTATGAATGTTTGACACCAAGATATTGATTAAACTGTCTTACTAACACTTTTGGATTAGTATAGAACAGAACTTATGTTCATCTTGATAATCTTTATTGCTATGAAACTATAAGCAAGCAAGCAAATCTCTTGAGTTTGTCCCTGGGAGAATTCAACAGAAATATCTACCTTTTGTTCACTATTACTTAAGTTGCCTTAAGGATAGTCTTGTCCCAGGTTATCTAGAAAAATGATTTTAAATTGCAGAGATTATAGAGAATAATAAGTAGTTCAAATCAGTTCTGTTTTGCAGCCTCTTGGCAGTATCATATTAAATGTTAAAGTGAGACTAAAGAAACTGAATAAAAGTGATTATACCAGGATACCAAAACTCACTTCTGTGATAACCCCACTTATAGGACCAGATTGTAGTCATATTAATCTCCAAAATGACATATACTTTTCATGTTACCCATGTATGAGACCAACTAGTCATCATAAATACTGCTGTAGTGGAAGTTTATTAGTAATAATCTATGTGAAGGCATTGAAACATATTGGAACAAGGCAACAAAAATACAGGATTTATTAGATTTTGTGTCTTGATAATTAACTGAATTCTCATTTTTCATGGACTTTGTAAGATCTTAGGAGGTAATTATGAAACACTTTCTTTTAAGAAGTACTTTTTGTAGGCAGAATATTTACCAACTAGTACAGTACAAGCGATTTGGTGGTTTTGCCCAACAATCTTAGTATTTATGGACTTTGACAATTTTTAAAATAAATAACTAAAGTTTAATAGCTGTAGAAACTTTAAACACTATGGCGTCATACACCAATACAAATAGTATTTTTGTCTGAGGAAAATGAGGGCTGGTCAAAATAATTCTCAGGAAAATATTCAAGTTTTTATAGAATAATAGTAATCTGTTGATTTTAAATAATTTTATTGAGATATGACTGACATACTATTCATGAATTAAAGTGTATAATTCAGTGAGTTTCAATATATTCACAGTATTATTTAAGCAACACCACATTCTTATTTAATCAGTTTAACTGTAATTTTTATTTAATCAGTTTAACCATAATAATAACTCACAATCTTTGGATCAACTCTGGATCTTACTTAAGAACATTTTTCTCCTTAAAAATCAACCATACAACCATTAGCATATCACAATTCTCCATCCTAGCACCAGAAAATCACCAATTCACTTGCTGTCACTATATTTTTACCAATTATTGATATTTACTATAAATATAATCATATAACATGTAGCCTACTGTAATTGGCTTCTATCAATTAGCATAATGTTTTTGAGGTTCATCTATGTTGTAGCATGTATTTCATTTAATATTCATAATATGTCTTTGGATCTCTAAACATAGTATGTCCTTCTGCTTATTAGAAATTTAATTTCTTCTATCAATGTTATCTGATTTTCAGTGGACAAGTTTATTCTTTATCATGACTTAATATTGCTTTACATAGAATTGTTTTCTTAATTTCTTTTTCTTTCTAATTTTATTTAATAATATCACTCAGTTATGATGATGAATGCTCTAGCTGCTTCTTTTGTTTTTGTTTGTTTTTTAAATAGATGAGAAGAGCCCCAAATTTATTTACCACATTGAATTTTTGACTTACTGCTTTATGATTGGGATGTTTTTGATTACTGCCTCAACATCTTTACTCATTATCAGGTTTTCCAAATTTTCCATTTCTTCATATTACAGTCATGGTAAGTTGTATGTGCCAGGAATTTATATTTTTTCTAGGTTAGCCAGTTGATTTTCATATAACTCATAATACTCTTATGTTTTTTATCATTCTTTGATATCAGTGTAATATCCCTTCTTCCATTTGTAATTTAATGCAGTATTACTTTTCTCTGGTTTGTCCATAGACTTGTCGATTTCACCTTTTCAAAAAGTCAATTTTCAGCTTCATTTTTATATTTTATATTGTTTCCTAAATGTTTTTCATTTATTTCTCTGCTAATCTTTATTATTTTTTTCCTTCTGCTATGTGGAGGCTTAGTTTGTTCTAGCTTCTTGTGGTTGTTGTATAGTTAGGTTGTTTATTTTTTATCTTTCTGCTTATTAAGGTAGTCATTTATTGCTATTGACCTCTTTCTTAGTTCACTTTCTGTTGCTACAATAAAATATTTGAGATGAGGAAATTTATAAAGAATAGAAGTTTTTTTTTTTTTGTTTGTTTGTTTTATAGTTCACGAAGCTGGGAAGTCCAAGACCACTGCATAGAAAACTTCTGGTATTTGGTGCATTATAACATTGCAGAGGGCATAACATAATTAGCCAGAGGACAACACAAACGAGGCAGAGGGCATCATATAGTGAGGCAGAATGCTTACTGGCTTGGGTTTCAGATTTTCCTCTAATGGAGCCATAAATACTTATATGGAGGCCTCACTCTCAAGACTGCATTTAATTCTAAATTTTTTCACAAAGACTTTATGCTCAAATATCAACATGAATTTGCTGATTAAGTTTTCAGTACATGAACTTTTGTAGAACACATTCAAACTATAGCAGAACTGGTTTTGCTGCATCCTGTAAATTTTGGTATATTGTATTTCCATTTCATTTCAAAGGTTTTTGTTTATTATTTTGATTTTTTCATTATCCCATTAGTGAGTCAAGAGTGGCTTTTTAAAAACTACACATAATTGTGAAATTTCTAATTTTAGTCCTGTTTTTGATTTTTAGTTTTGTATTACAGTATTTGAAATAGATATTTTACATGATTTCCATCTTAATTTGTCAAATTGTTTTGTGGCATGATATATGACTTGTATTGCAATCTGCTGCTACTAGATAGGATGCTTCTGAACATATCTGTTGATCCAGTAGGTCTGTAATAATATTCAAGTGTTCTTTCCTTACTCATTTTCTGCCTGTATGTTCTTCCCATTGTTGAATGTGAGTTAATAAAATCTCATACTACTATTATAACTTCTACATATTTCTCACTTCAATATTTTAAATATTTACTTTACATAGAGTAAAACCTTGTATTGCAAGTAAAAAGTTCTATGAGCAAACATTTATATTAAATTTGTTTGATAAATGAGCGATGTCTTGCAAAATGAATAGTTTGTGATGTGCAATATCACATAATCTGAGTTGAGCCAATAGTTCTTGACCTTTCTTGCTATGGAATTATGGGTGAACATCTCCCAACAGCAAGAAGTTATGGAGGAGTGGTCATGAGCAGA